AGGGCCGGATCGGATTGATTCAGGACGGCCGCCTAACACTTCAGCAGTAATGAATGGAGTAAGCCCCACACTCGGTACAACGTCGTGTCTAATGGTTATTATCATTATTATTATCATCATTAGTATTTGGTAAAGTAACCTTTATGTGAACCAAAATAGACTGTGCTGAGCCTGTGCCGTGCTGTGACTGACTGAACTCAACTTTAGTTATAGCTTCCGGGTTGAGTCATTGTGGAGGGGTTACGGGGGGTAGTGTTTTGGAATGGTCGACAGAGGCGTCAGGGGCTCAATGAATGAATGATGGCGGACCTTGCCTGCTGCCTGGTACGTAGTTCCGGCCTACAGGAAATAATAACCTAGCTTAACTAGATCGACACAATTTCTCGGGTTTATGGCGGGCGCTATCGACTCGATGATCCGCCGGGCAGACGACCTAGGGGTTGCATGGCTCTTGTCGAGGGGCGTAAGCACAGCCCCACTGCAGTACTGCAAGTCTGTAGTCTGTAGGGCGGCTTGGGTTTGACGTTTGGGTTCTTTGATTTGGTGCGAATCCAGGGTCCTGCGGCTGCTGCAATACATCCCGGGATTGTGTTATGGGATCAGTGATATCTGAGTCTCACTTCAGCTCTCAAACTCGCATAGTCGGTTTCAAAAGTTTCCCCTACCGGGACAGGACTATTTGTTCGTTTGAAACTCGGAACAGATACCTTCATCTGTTATTTTGGCCTCAACTCTGACTGAAACTGAAACATTCCTTGTTGAATTGAAGCCCCTGTGTTGATGTAAGCCCGATTGGTCAAGGTGCTCCGGGCATACTCCAGACTCAGACCCAGACCCCACTGACAGACTGACGCTGAAATTTGAAGCTAGTGGTTCCTGTGATTACCAATATGTTTATAATAGATAAATTTAAATAGTAAACATGACCACTATAATTTAAATGTATATGTCCTGCCCCCCCAAATATTATTTAGTTACACTAATACAATTACGGGCTTATTGAGAGATAATAGTAATTGAATCCATAATAGTGAATAATAATTGGCATTATAATACTCGGGCAAGGCTTGTAGACTAGACGCGAGGCTTTGCGTTCAAAGGCCTGGTGTTGTTAGATTAGTTACTACAGAACCTTACTAACTAACTATTGTTACGCAATTATTATTATTGTTATTATTCTTATTAATAATTAGTAGGTGTGTAACACTGCAACACAGGCAGGTTTCGCAATCTTGGGGATAAGGCTCGGCGGACGAATTATGACCCGGCTAATCTAAGCCCGGATTTTTCTGCCCTGCACAACTCCATTCAAATCCAACTTATTTCGTCACCTTAGCATCATCTTGAGCTGGCACAGAACGCACCGAGGGACTGTATCCCATAAGTATGAACACAAATGCATTCAGTTGTACTGAGTAGCCAGCGCCACTGTTTACTTATTTACCTTTACTCATTACAGTAATTACACTTACACTACCGTGCCCCCTGATGCTTTAATTTGTTAATTCTGAGAGCAAAACGTGCAGCTGTGCATGTGGACCGAAGAGCTTCTTCGCCTTCAGCATGTAGACTACCTCAGACGTCTTGGACTGGAGTCTTTGCCGGGTGGGCGGGCCGGCATGACCGGTTTTGCGTTGATAGTTGGATCGATGTCACGTCTGTCTGTCTATCGGCACTATCACTGTCATTTGATTCTCAGAATCATACTTCGCAAACGATCGTCACCGAAGTTAACTAACTTAACTTAGCTAACTTTAAGATTACTTAGGAAAATTAAATAATACGGTTCTCCGTCCGTCTCGGTCGGACCGTCGGACTGAAGGCTTTGTCACCATTGCCATTGTAAGTCATTAATTGTAAACCGGAATTCGACTCATTACTATCCCTTTTCAATACGCAGACTGACTGACTGACTGACAATGACAAAGAGGACGCAACAATTGAAAGTCAAGGCTGCAACACACTTTGCTCACATGGGCAAGGGCACTATGGTTTCGTCACAAGCCAAGCTGCCATGTCCCAGGCGGCTAAGGGAAGGATATTGCTCTTGAGCAGGGCCTTCTCGATGAGCGCTTTGCGCAGGGTGTAGAACCTGACTGTTGTTTCATTTCCACACACTCTCTCTCTCTCTCTCTCTCTTTCTCTCTCCCTCTCTCTCGCGTCGAAGCTCTGACTGAGACGAGAGAGACTCAGAGTCACCATTCACAAGATACTAGACTAACACACCACCAGCTACACGGATTGTAAGAATAGTTCACACAGTCACTGTCGCAGCTGTTTCGGTCGCTACAAGGTTGCTGCCAGGCTGCTTGCCGTCCCTGACGGAATCAATGATCTCCATTTTTTCGACGGGTCGAAGCGGCTTCGCCTTCTTTGCTGCCAGGGATCGGTCTGCTGTTGCACAGCGACGGCTAAGTGCCGCCACATTGTCATCCTAAGTTTGAGTTGAGCTTCATTGATGAGTTCAGAACATCACGGGTAGCATGATTCATATAAGTTTCGAAACATTGAATTCCCTGCACTGGGCCGGAAACTGAGTCCAAACACATATGTATGTATATATCTATGTATATATATATATATATTATATGTGTGTGTATACAGAGCCTCAGTCAGAAGACGACGATGTACGTGATTGTTTAATTGTGACCGAAATGTCCACCCTAGTAAATAAATTAGGTATTACTGGTTCATGCAGTGAATATGTTATTCATGTATGACTCTGGGTCTGCGTCTTTTAGGTTACAGTTCCAAACTCAGCCGGCCGACACTCGTCACGCTGGCATAACTCTTATTTGATTTGAAAGATGGGACCCTCACCCACTCATCCAGTCACCCCTCCGGTACCCAAGCCCTGGACCCAGGACTCAGCTAGGCTAAGACCCAATGCCCAAGACTCCCAGACACAGGCAGGCAGGCGGCAATGAACGCAGCAATCTGCGTCAGCAGTGCCAGGGCCTTCGCCCTCATGAGTTTCACGCGGGCGTTGCTCAGGTCGTGCTTCCTGAGTTCATTGAATGAAGCTTGAAGGCTTAAGTATATGCCACATGACATTGACCATGACTCATGGTAAAATCGTCGACTTAAAGTGAACCGTAGTGCAGGACCGGCAACTAATGAATTGAAATCTGTTTCGGGGTCTACGGGATCTAATACTTACTCTGGTTTCAGGAAATTTAAGGTATGTATCTATTCATTCTTTGGTCGTCTTCGTCTGACAGGCGAACAGCGGATTTCTCAACCCGACGGCGTCCTGATCTTCGCCTTATTATTATCACTGACTCACAGTTAGTTTACAAGCCCGTTGCCCACTGCTGAAATTAAAGAAGCCCTCATTGCCCATGCCCCTAAAAGGCCCTACGTGCTTCAGGGATTCGGATCCAAAGCAAACGTAATGGCACTGGCCAATGTGCACGCATTGTCCGGAGCCTGCACCCAGGGCTTGGCGTCGTCCTGGCAGGGATGCAGGGGTTGTCTCTTGAAATCCGCATGACAATGAGGCTGGGCCAGGCAGTGGGGATAATTGAAAATAAGCTACAACAAGACTCTGACTGACTGAGATTTCAGGAGAGTCGAAGCAGTAAGAGAGTAGACTGTAGTCATAAGTTAGAAGTCTGTTTACAGTAGTGGTGTGAACCTGAGACGGTGACATATCATGTCAAGTTTCCTTGTGATTGCAGTAGAGTACAATCGCGGATCCTTGCTACGTGTACTTGCCCTAACAAATGATCTGAATCTGAACTTGTTCAGTCAACCAAACACTGTAACATGTCCAGCAGTTCAGCTGCCCACATATCTGTGAAGTAGCGCGTGGCCCCCGCAGGAACCAGCCACTGCATCGGAAAAACTGTGTCGCTGTCAGCCGGCACGTCGACAGACATCAGCGGCATGCCTTGTCGCGGGTTCTGATTCTCTACAACATTAAGGGCTGGAGCTGTGTCACGAGCTGCACCCCTTAGTACTGCTACTGGCTGGCAACGAACCAGGGCCCCGTCCTGGCTGAAAGTCCGGTCTCACTAGGAGCTTCATGTGCCCAAGTCTAGCCGAGGCATGAATCAACTCATCCAGTAAACGGAAGGCGATGGTCCGTGGGCCCTTCTTGACATGGCCATTGCTTAGCGTCCACGCCACAATGGCCACGAGCATCGTCGTCACCACCGTTTTGTCGTACAGAGCCGCCTTCTTGTTGTCGTCAGCCTTGTCATTATCGTTGTTATCGATTACGCTGATTCTTCAAAGTCTGGGTCCTAATACTTTTTACAGGGCTTGGATCCCAAGATTTGACATTCCAGATGTGTCGGATAGTTAGCAGTCACAGCTGGAAACCTGCCTAGATGTAACAGCAATGGGCTGCAGCTGAGTGGCAGCCGGCGGCGGTTTGTTTACCGAATCACTGATGCAGGGCCTCATCGGTACTTCTGCTCCCGGCCACATGAGCCGGTGGATGTCCTTGCAGGCGTTCATGACTTTGTCTAGTCGCCGACGCCCGTTTCTGAGTTCCTCCTTCGTTGGAGACCCATCTGCAAGACGTACCATCAGCCGTGCTGCGTGCCACTCTGCCTGAAGCTCTGCTGGACATGCCGGCACATACACATCTAAGCCGAGGAGCGTGCGCCGCTCCTTAAACAAAGTCGTCATCACGACCGACTCTGGAGCCATAAGGGCCAGCGACAAGATGTAATTACACCAAGCCCTTTGAACTTAAGGGCAATTTGGGGCCAATTTCAGAAGAATCCATTGTTTTGGGCTGAATTACTCGGCTCTCGAGTCAGTGCGAGAACTTTAGAGCCACATAGAGTATCTTAGAGCGATATAAAGCGTCTTGAAGCTGTTTAAAGCGGCTTAAAGCATCTTAGAAGGCTTTCGAGCGGTTTCGATTGGATTCGAGCGATACTCTACCGATTAAGAGAAATGCCTGTGAGATTGGGGGGCCCCCGGATACGGGGCCCGTTAAGTTCTCCTGACTATAAACCCTAAACCCTAAACGCCCCCCCCCGCGCCTCCTTGCTCTGTCCTTGCGCTGTGCCAGAACCCCCCTTGAGGACGGCGGCGACATGTACGGGCCTGAGTACAGGATACAGTAGACCCAAAGGCTCCATGTACCCATATAGTAGGTACTTAAGCCTCAAAGGGGTCCCTATATAGGTACTTTAAGGCCTAAGTATATACTATAAGGGTACATGGAGCCTTAGGGAGAATCAGTAGAAGCCAAGAATATCGCACATCCTTATCCTCGTGCCCTTGACCTTAAGGCAACATCCGGGGAATCCCCAGCACTAATCATCCTTCTCCCATGTACGAGGTTTCTGGGGTTCACTGTAAACCCTCTAAAGGCATCATGCGCTCAACCCCAAGCCCCTAAACCCTAAACCCTAAACCCTAAACCCTAAACCCTAAACCCTAAACCCTAAACCCTAAACCCTAAACCCTAAACCCTAAACCCTAGATTTGACTCAGAAGACTTAGGGTTTAGGGTTGAAGGCTTTTATAGGTTACTACAGTTGATGATCTAAATCCTGCATTACCTTAAGGACCCTAGACCCTAGACTGTGGGAATTATGGTATATTCCTTATTGGGGTAATGCAGGATTTATATATCATCGACAGTAGTAGCAAAGAAACAGCAAAGGCAAAGCTAATCACGAAGACCCTTCCCATAGAACTGAGCCGTTTTGACCAGAAGCCTCCAGTCTAAAGCAATCCTTAAAGCCTAGACCTAAGAGTAGCCACGGAATTAAAAGGGTGCCCTTTTTGGTCCTATAAGGTAACCCCAAAAAGGAACTACAATAGAGACTATAGGCTAGACCCAAGAGTAACCTAGGAATAAGAACGGTGCCCTTTTTGGTTTAATGGGAGTTTAAGGGAACCTGAAGCCCCCAAACAAAGATAATAAGGGCCTACTCTGGGTCCTAGAAGCCCACCCAAACCTTGGAAACCTCAGCGTCACCAATGAAGTTCCCTGAGGGTCCATGTACTCATATAGTATATACACTGGCCTTAATGTAGTCCCTGTATAGGTACTTTGGGGCCCATGTCTCTCTGTATGGGTACATGGACCCTTAGGGGTTCTTCTTTGAGGAGGTTGGCCCTAAGAGAACTTCACGGTAGAGAGCAGGATTTAGGCCTCGGATATTTCCCTGACACGAAATTCCTTGCGCCAAGCACCCTAAAATGCGCAACTGCCGTTGTCGACTGTCGTGCTTCAAACGGCTGGTCGTTGTTCTACACTAGGTTCTTTGTAGGGACTGAATTTAGGGAGCTTAGCTTAGCATTTGCCACGACTGACATGAAACTCGCGAGCAAAGCCATGATCCCTCCACCTATAGGGCCCAAAAACCCTGCGCGGAAGCCCCAACAATCGAAAACGACACAAGAACGACGAAACTCTTACCTATACCCCCCTTAGAACCAGAATAAAAACATTTTGGTTTACATTCTTGGGTTTCATATGAACGAATATTAAAAAAAAAAAGTAATTCCTAAGGAGACTATAGTTACTGGCGTGAATTCCCAAGCCGTAGCCGACTCTCAGACCGAGATGCGTGGGGCCCTGAGACACCACCTTGCTGGGAGGTTCATGGGTAGTTATAAGTGAAGTTATAAGGCATCCTTTAAGGGTCCCTTTAAGGGGTCCTATGGGGATTTAGGGTGTAGGGAGTAGGGTTTAGGATAGTTACAAGTGAGGTTGTAAGTCCCCTAATACGATTTATAAGTATAGTTACTGTTACCCTACTTATAACCCTACTTATAACTACAACATGAACCTCCGAGTAGAGCAAAGATATGCAGGTCATTCACCACGACGCGGACAGCCGTTCTACGCATGTACGGCTTCCGTTGTTGTTGTTGTTGTTCTTCTTCTTCTTCTTGTTGTTGTTTGCAACAGAAACAGCCATCCACTGAAGTCGCGCTAGCAGGAGTTGCAGCGGCTGCAGCAACAGCAGGAGCAGTAGCAGTCGTGGTGGTGATGGTGCATGTACAGTAGCAGCAGTGGTAGTGGTGGTGGTGGTGGTGGTGGTGGTGGTGGTAGTCGTATCAGCAGTAGCAGCAGCAGCAGTAGCAGCAGTGGTAGTGGTAGCGGCAGTGGTCGTGGCAGCGTAGTGGTAGTGGGAGTGGTTATGGTAATGCTAGTAGCAGCAGTGCAGTAGTGTTCGTGGTGGCGGTGGCGCGGCGGTGGCAGTGGTGGTAATTGTAGACTTGTACTGCCACTGCTACTGCTACGACCACTGCTACGCTACACTTCCCGTGCTCGGATTACTTTTGCGACTTCTTCTGTCCCATGCCACCGTGTGTACGATGGCCGTGGCCAACATGTTCCGTCTCTTGCTACAGTCGCTGCTGCTCTTTCTGAATATTGTTTTGGGCTTTTTACTTCTCCTGCCATGAGGATAGACCTGTCCTTGGTTCCTTCACAAATGTGGAGCTGCCGTATGGTCAAACCCAGGCACGAAGATCGGGTGGCCTATACAAGTTGTTAAACCACTGCCCGAGAAAGCTTCCACGTTTTGTCATCTACGGTCAAGGAGCCTGCAACCTAGCGCCCCTAAACCCTAAACCTAGCGCTGCTGCACAACAAAATAGCTAGCGATGAGGCAGTCGAAAACTCGATGACCAAGGGTTCGATGGAAAGCTCTCGGTATGTGAGAGCTCCCTGCCAGTGGTCTGACCGGGGATTAGGTCTTGGGTGGCTGCAGGGTTAGGGTTTCGGGATGTTTAGGGTGTAGTGTTTACCGCGTCGTGCGGTTTAGGGTTACAGTAGGCTTTAGGAGTTAGAGCTTGGGTATTTCGGTAGCTGGGATTATTGGACTAGGATACCCAGTAACCTAAGAATAAAAAAGGCCTCTCTTTTTGGTATTGGGTACTTTTACAAGGAACCTAGGACTACAAAAAGGGAATAAGGGTACTACTGGGCATCCTAGTGGAGGTGTATGTGTGCAGGGTCCCTGGAAGGCGCTTGGCGTGTTAGCACGGCTTGCATCAAACACCAGGGCTGTGGGCTGGCAGGGATCTACCTATAGTCTCCATTGTAGTTCCTTTTTTTGGTTTAACCAATTTTAATATTCAGGATCCTGAAAGGTAACCCCAAAAAGGAACTACAATGGAGACTAGAGGTAATTACATTACCATGCCATCCTGAGGGGCTAAATGCCCGAGCCTAAAATGGGGTTAAGGATAGGTTATATAGGTAACCTAGGGTTAAGGATTTAGGGTACGAAGCCCCTTAGCTCCCATGCTCTCAGGTCCTACAGTGAAGCTTAAAGCTTTTGGGTTGGCCGTGGTGCGGCTCAAGAGAGCTGCATCCTCGGCTATGTGCCCAAACTCAGAAACAAGATGGACCTCACACGCCAAAGCGGTTCAACAAGAGGGGTTATAGGGTTTGGGGTTACAGGGTAGAACTGAAGCTGACGTCATCAAGCCAAAGTCAAGAGGCCGGGATCTTGACGTCCTTCAACAGCTTCGAGTCATCCTCCTGGCAGGAGGAGTCCAGGGATCAAAGGTTTCGGGCTTACTCTCGTGTTATTGACGACGAAGGCGACGACGCGCGACGACGGCAAGAACAAGACTGACAAGGATAGCACGAATCACTACATAAACAACAACACTAACATGTGCAATAACGGGCACGATAACACTAACAACGCCAATAACAAGAATACTAATGTATAGCAATAACAGTAAACACAAGCAAGACACAGAGCGACAGCAACAACACCACCAACAACAACATCAACGACTACGACGAAGACAATGACAACGACAACGGCACATCAAGAAAACAACAACCACAATAGGAATAATGGCAATACTGACATGAATAACAATAGCAATGACAAGCAACATACAACGCACATATCACTTTGTTCCCCCTTGTCGAGCAGTCCTGAAACCCAAATGGACACTTTGATGCAGCATATATAACTCGCAGTCGGGTACGTGCGACATCTAGAAACGACAACTGCACTCACAGCGACGTCTGGACCACGATCCAGTTACAACGCAGAAATGACAATAAGCTGAAAAGGGAAACAACCGTGGAGCAGAGCCAACATGTATTTTTGGTTGCCTTGCCCCCGATCTCGCGGCCACCCGCAAAAAGACGCAGCCTGCACAGGATCAGGATCTGAACCATGCGCTGGCTGAAGGAATCTGGGGGTCGGGCCTTTTCTGCCAAAGGATGGCGGACTTAAGCAGTTGGCTTATGGGTGCGCCCAAACCAGACCTATCTATCTATTTATATATCTATACACAAATAGGCATGCTCACAGTTCTCTCGCTCGCTGTCTTTCGCTCTCTCTGTCTCTCTCTCTCTCTCTCTCTCTCTCTCTCTCTCTCTCTCTCTCTCTCTCTCTCGTGTATATATATATATATTTATGTATATTTATAAATATATATATATATATATTATATATATATGTATATACATATGCATATACATACACACGTACATCTACGGATAGGTGTCTCAATAAACATGGTTAATTAGATATACTACAGGTTGGTCAACAGACTGAAAGACGGACTGGTAGAATCCTACATAAAAGCCAACTCGCGAATGTTGTGGGGGGGGGGGGGGGGGGGGGGGGGGGGCAGGGCGGGGGGGCCAGGGGACAGGATCTGATCTTGGGGGTGGACTTTAGAGGCTGGGTGCGTAGAGTGGCATTCGACTTAGACGGTGTAGGATTTGCTGGCTATACTGATAAAACCGACCCTGTTGGTTTGCCAAGAGGGTTGCAACGGAAGCATTTCTATGGCGAGATTAATTACAAGATTGTGAAGGGCCTTCAGGATTTTGCACGGTCGCTGCAGGTCTTGTAGGTCTTGTTTGGATACTCTCGCTTGATCGAAAGCACAAGCTCCAACCGAAAATCGAGTCTGAACCACCTTAAATCTGAACCCCAAGCAGGCAGACTGCTCCGGTTGATGATATATATCCTGCATTACCCATAATAAGGAATATACCATAATTCCCATAATTCAGGGTCCTTAAGGTAATGCAGGATTTATATCATCAACCGTACTTCTATAACGCATCTGCCTTTCCACCGTTTCCAGAGCCGGCTGAGAGGAGGGCCAAAACTCCTTCCAAATGGAATTGAATCCTTTATCAAAAGGGAAAGGAGGGACCCTTAATGGGGACCCCTACCCTGTAGTGGGCTATATAACGAGTATATAATAGCTATATTAAGGGTCCCTCCTTTTACCCTTGGACTTTAAGTTTAACAGCGTTGCATATCGTGTTTTCTAGGTCATGGATGGGATAGGATTAAACAGATTACATGTGTATTCCTTATTGGGCTTAAGTACCAAGCAACATGTAAAATGTTACCCAACTACGACAAAGTTTAACCAAAAGCAGGAAACTGCATTGGAGAGCACAGGCACGGACATTTAAAAGACGTCGGCTTGGCTCTTTGCATCTCTTCGTAATTCGCAAACCCAAAAATGGTTCCCAAGGAATACTAGGACTACTAGGATGCCAAGCTGCGAAAAAAGAGTTGGGAGATGTAAACACGGCTAAAGATACTTTCTTGTAGATCGAATTTCTACCTTTCTTGAGCCAGGCTACCGCATATGTCCCGTCCTATACCCGGACCAACAAGAATCGGAATTTTATATATGTAACATATACACATACACATACATATCTATATAGACAGATAGATAAGTAAGCAAATACACAAAGATATACACACAGATAGATAGATAATATGGGTCTGATTTTTCATGGAGGGCCACACCTTCCTGTAGCCAGTGGAGGGACAGGAGCCCTTTCAAAGGTGAACACTACCCTAAACCTTAAACCCTGAACTCAACCACTGTTCCCCTAAGGGTCCAAGTACCCAAATAGTAGGGTTTCAAGGTCCAAAAACCATTCAGAGTATGGATTTTGGGACTTAAGACCCTACTATTTGGGTACTTGGACCCTTTGGGTTCTGTATGCTGCCTGGCCCAATACGTAGCCCTTGCAAAAGCCTGCTACAGCTAGTCACTTCCTCGGGGTCAAAACCCCGGAAGCCAGTTCCTTGGAGCCTCAGTTTAGGGTTTTTTGGGTTTGGGCTTAGGATTTACCATGATTTACCCTAGGTGCAAGACAATATTTATTGTAAACTCCAAAAAATTGGAAACCTAATTGAGGACAAATCGTGCTGGGATTCCTTATACTTTGCTCTTAGGGATTGAAGCTATCGGGCTTCCAACTTTTAGGCTTCTGCTGTAAGAGTGACCCAGCTTGGTCCAGCGTCGAGTTGGCGCAAAGGCCAGCTCAGACATGCTGCATTTTGCCGCCTTTTGCACTACCCAGAGGCCCCAAAAGTAGTTCACATGGGGGTTTCCGAAAATTAGGGGTCCCTTGTTGGGGGTCCTTATAATAAGGATCCTACTATTTAGGGTACTACATTAGAGTCCCCTATTTTCGGAAACTCCCATATATAGAATCCTATTAGGTAATCCCAAAAAGGAACTACTATGGGGCCTCTGGGTAAGCCCTAAACCCTAAACCCTTGACTTGCATTGGACCGATCATTAGACGGTTCATGTAATCAAGGAAGCGGGTCGTGTTCTCCTCAGACATGAGCAACATCGCGGTGAGCTTTCAGAACTTCTGGACGGTGTCGAATAAGGATTTGTTGGCCCCAATGGGACACGAGGACCAAGTCCGACACGTCCGTAGCTGCAAAGGCCAAATCCAACTGCTTTGCAAGCATCTTGACCAAGTTCTGGTCGTGGCAGATCTGCGTAACCCTGGACACCCGAAATATCGGAACAACCCATTGTCAGGGATGTTGCTCCGGTGATTTTGTAGCTGAAATGGTATGAAAATAAAACTGCCTGGAATGGTACTAAAACACCGTGGCAGATGAGGCCTACAGCCGATTATGCGCCCGAACTTGCATGAACATCGTCCTGCAGAATCTTTGCTTTCACCTCGCTGACCTTTGAGGTCAGGGCCTCAGACGCAACCATGATCATGATGGTTGAGCGGTTTAGGGTTCAGGTTCCAGGCTAGTGGAGGAGGTGATTCGCACAACAGGGATGGCGTATAAATGGCGTGGCCGTTCCAAGTATTGTGGGTGGTGAGGTGGCTACTGGATACAGCAATCTTTGAAGTCTCCTGTAATCCCAGAGTTCATCGCAACTTCAAAACATCAGGAGACCTACTGAATCTTCGAAATAGAAAACACCAAATGTGGAACTTGCAATGGAACCCCGTTAAGGAACCCTTTTAAGGATCTCAAGCCCCCAAACCCTCTTTCAAACCCCAAAACCTTTAACTTGAAAAAAGGCACTGAACCGAAAGTCCGTATCTTGAACACCCGTGCGAAAACATCGGTGTAGGGTTTAAGGGTCTAGGGTTTAGGATTTATAAGATTCATATTTTAGGATTTGGAGTTACCCGTCGAGTCTGTCCAACTTTAAACTTGAAGCGAGCTTTGGGTTTACGCTTTAGGACTTAGCCTAGGATACCCAGTAACCTAAGAATAAAAAGGCCTCTCTTTTTGGTATTGGGTAACTTTATAAGGAACCTAGGACTACAAAAAGGGAATAAGGGTACTACTAGGCATCCTAGATTCCCAACATAGAGACCCTACATTCTGCTACGATAGGTACTTTGGACCGTGAGGGTGCTATTATCCCAAGCCCTTTGAACCTGATCCCCAGCCGAAACCCCGAAGCAGGGCACCCAAATCTCCGGGGTCTGTGCCACTTCCATCTCAGCAGAGTTGACGTCATTCACGAAGACGAGTTTCAGACTAAGCTTTGCCTGGCCCAATGTCAGGGTTGAAAGCAAGACCCAAAGGGTCCAAAGTACCTATACAGTAGAATGTAGGGTCTCTAAATTCGGAAATACTACGATGATTTGGGGAAGTTACCCGCACAACAGTACTTAGGACCCTCTGGGAGAGCCTTTGCCTTCGCTGGCTCCTGTGAGGGTTCCATAGGGTTTTTAAGGCGTCAGACTTCCAAAACGCAACGATTCTACTATGCTTACTGTCGGCGTTCTGTAGGGCCTATAGGGTCGTCTTATTAGAAGCTTTGTTTATGAAGTCAGAGTGTGAAGGATGATCCATGCGATAGGGGTTTCAGACAGTTTAGGGAACCTGACTGTGGATCCTGCAAGCTACCATCTGATATTTCAGGTAGTTGTTCTTATTTGTTGAAACTCCGGAAAGACATGTAGGAGTTTCCGAAAACAAGGGGGTACCTTATCTTGGAGTCCTTGTAATAAGCATCCTACTATTTAGGGTACTATATTCGGGTCCCCTATTTTCGGAAACTCCCATGTCATGTGGATGGCGCATGCCGAGTGCTGGCATAAGGAAGATCTGCCCAAATCATGTCAACCGCCTGCCTTGGAACAGGTGGCTTACAGTAGGGTTTCCAGGTTTAAGGACTTTAGATCCTAAACGCTTTATGGTGACTGAGTAATTAATGTGTGATGCATTATGCTCCAAGTGCCCAGTCCAAACGCAAACATGGCACCTAGCTTGTGGCAGTCTAGCATTACGTACACTATAACCACTTGTATGGTGACTGCTACATACAATATTACATACAGTCTCGTATGCCACTCCTGCAGTACATATTCATGATGCAGGCTCACATTTTCCCCTAAGGCTGCAGTTAATTAACTAGCAGGTTTCCAGATCATTTAGGTAACTGCAGCCTAAAGTGTATGGCACACTGTAGCCCGAAACCCCAGTCCTACTCTGATTATCCAGGTCTTTATATGGGGACTAGGAGGTCTAAGGTTCTGCAATGACTCTGCGCTGTTCAGATCTGGCTTCTTCACTCGCAGCAGCGCTCGAGATGCGGATCGGATTTCTAGGTTTGAGGTGTGCGAAGTCCAATCAACAAACTCGTTGTTATAATATCTCATATATTATATACCAGACTGTAAATCTTATACGCAATATTCAGCTATAACAGCAAACCTGAACGGTCCCGAGCCCTCATGAAAGCCCTGCCTCCCTGATTCTCGATAATCAAAGTGGAAAAGGAGGGTCCCTTAATGGGGACCCCTACCCTATAATGGGCTAAATAATGGGTATATAATAGCTATATTAAGGGTGTATACGTAGGGGCCCTCTTTTTACCCTTGGATAGAGCTAAACCGCAACACCCTAAGCGGTAAGCCCCAAATCCCGGACCCTACACCCCAAAACCCCAAAACCCTAAAACCCCTAGCCCTAAACCCCTATAAACTCTCAACCCTAACCCTAAAGTCCAAACCCTGAAGCCGCGAAACCCTGAACCCCATAAACCCTAAAACACTAAACTAAACCCCTAAAGCCGAAACCATGAAACCTTAGGCCCTAAACCTGCCCTTTCATCACCGCTGCCCCCCGTTGCTCGGCTCTCCCGGCTTCGTCCGGCATGACGTTCAAAGGGAACTCAGCCTCACTCGCTGCACTGGTAGAGGGGTTTAGGTTTAGGAATGGGGGTTTAAGGTTTATACCGTTGACGATTTAAAGTTTAGAGCTTCGGGTTTAGGGTTGAGGGATTACGGGGGTTTAGGATTCGGGAGGGGCCTTAATGCTTAGAACAAGGTTTCTTGTAAGCGGTTCCACTTAAACAAATCTTTAATGTCACTAGAAGGTTCAGTGCAGCGGCCTTAACAATTAGACTATGGCTTTTGAGTTTGTTGTATTGGCTTATCAGGATGACAAGGAGATAGTGCTTCCAATTTTTCCATCTCTACATTGCATTTTGGGTTGTGGGTTAAGAGGGTGGGGCCCCAGAATAGTCAGGTCCCGCTTAATAACAACGATTGTACCATCATTCCAGCAAATACATGATACTGGCAGTCGTGGTAATCGTGTATTCTAGAAGATGTCACTATATGTCACTATATGAGGATGGGCGTTTGCGCGTTTGTGTGCATAGTTGCACGAAAGAGGCTCCACCGGCACTCGAAAGCAAACCGCTGATTTAAGGCTCAAGCTTTCTTCCAACTCTAGAGCATAAGCTGCAGCAGCAATGACCGTCCTAGAATGTCAACAGGAGTCTTGGTCGTGACCATCAACCCTACAAAACCCTACCTACGGTAGCGATACTTCATAACGGTGGCGATAGCCATGGTAAAATAGGGGCCTCAATAATTTCAGTAGGATTTTGGGTTTACTATGCTATAACTCTAACAAGGAACTACTAAAATAGTAGAGGCAATTGTCAAGGCCCCTATATTACCCACAATAGTACCCTAAATACTAGGATCGTCAGCATAAGGACCCCAAAATACGGTACCCCTAATTTTCGGAAACTCGTACTAGCCATAGCAGCAGTAGTGGTAGGAAGCCTCCGGCAGTGAAACTTAAGCTGGGGGGCCGCTCTTGGGACCCGAGGTGCGGGTTTAGGGTTTGAGGTTTAGGGTTTAGGGATTAGCTATCTTCTTCAACAACCGGGCCCCCAAAGTTCTAATATGCTAGGCCAGAAAATTGAAAGTTCCCCCCTGCACTATCAAAGTTAGGGGCTTGGGGTTTAGGGTATTCTGCCACAGATGCATATGTAGGGGTTTATCGAGAAACATCTGTCATCACTGAATAAGCCAGCCCTTTGTCGGTTCAAGCCACTTATCCTGTTTATAAGGCCCCTATCATGGTGATTCACAACGTTCCTTGTTTACATGATGAATGCTGCTCCTATACATGAGGGATGTTGCTGTTACCATTGAGATCCGTATCGTCGAGTGCTTCATTTTCGAGACCCTGTCTTTAAGCTTTTCATCTGCTTACGACTGGCACCCTTCTCAGTACTATCTGTCATGTGTGTTAGGGTTTAGGGTTTAGGGTTTAGGGGTTGCGGCAGCTATTAAGCTGTTCATCTTCGGACATCCAACTCCTTTTTCTCAGCGAGGCTTATAGGGCTATTGACGTCATCCCGCTCCGAAGAGCTTCAGCCACCTGCCGTTTTAGCTGGCCACATATTTTCGAGGTCATGGGAGCGCCTGCGAATCGCATGTCGACTCAGTATTCCCTTGCTGCTGTTGCTGTTGCTCCTCCTACTCCTTCAACTACTACTGCTACTACTACCACCACCACCACCACCACTACTACCACTACTGAACTACGACGATTACCGCTACCACTACTGCCTACGACTACGACTACCACTACCACTACGGACTACGACTAGTAGTACTTGCACTCGTACTAGTACCAGTACCAGTACCAGTACTCGTACTGGTACTAGCACTAGTACCAGTACAAGTTCTAGTACTCGTACTAGTACCAGTACCACTACTAGTACTAGTACGACGAATATCTGTCTATCTGTTTGTTTATCTACGTATAAGTACAGCCACATGGACCCTTAGGGTAACCGTTGAGTGCCCGAATCGTGACCACCTTTGCTTGCATGTTTCAGATATAAGATATGATACAACCATAAAGGAACCCACCCGCGAACTGAACAAAAAACTAAGCAAACACCATGGACTCCGCGTAAGACCTCCATATGTTTCATGAGACTCAAACTTGGACAACCCTTAAATGTTTGGAGTTTCAGATGCATTCCTTCCTTCCTGGGTCCTGGAACTCAAAAATCCCTTACGGCTCATGTCAAAAGCCCTAGTATTGGGTCCTGCCGGGGTCTGCCGAAGCATCCGAAGAACCCTACACGCCCTGCAAGACTGTAAGCCTGACGAGCCCTGCAACAAAAGCTTCATCTCTAAACCACTCACTAGACTGCAAGCGCTTCCGTGGCAGGCAGCCAGAAAGATAACACTGGCCGGGATCGCAGGGATTGGCGGTCCGTCTTGCCTAAACCCTAAACACCTGCACCATAAAACTATAGGATACCCAGTAACCTAAGAACAAAAGGCCTCTCTTTTTGGTATTGGGTAACTTTATAAGGAACCTAGGACTACAAAAAGGGAATAAGGGTACTACTGGGCATCCTAGTATACGCAAACCTCAGGGTTTCGGCCTGGACTGTCACTCCGGCTTTCGCTGATGCGGGACTGTTGCAACAAGTCTGTGCGTAAGTCTACCCTAAGGCCCCAAAGTGGTTCCTTTTGGGGTTCGTATATAGAATCCTATTAGGTAGTCCCAAAAAGGAACTATACTTTGGGGCCTTAGGGTACAGTACCCGGTTCTGAACAGCCGTACGCCGCAATTCTGTGGCTGAACACACAAAAACAATGTCACGAATGCCCCAACAATCAGAAAAAATGGGACATTGCAACCCAGCATACATGAGCGTGGAACATTGACAACATGTGAGGGCTTGTCTGCAACGGCTGTCCCTTTTTAAGCGAAGCAACATGATGGCGGCTGGCTATTTAAAGGAGCCTAAACCCTAAACCCACGAGGGTTGTTGTCAAAAGTATGGTCACTTTTCGGGTCCTTAGTATACTGCGGCACCTACTATTCAGGGTACCCCAAAATGGGACCAAAACTTTGGCACAACTGTAGAAGAGCCCATCCCATGCCTTGATAGAAACAGCGAGGGAGCGAAACAGCTCTTTGACAAAAGGGCACCCTAATATCGGGCCCTAAATAGTAGGAACCCTAAAACAGGACCCAGAAAAAGTTACCCCTAGTTAGTCGCATGTCGAGCTCCTGAAAACAAGAAGCTACATCATGCAGGCAACGGTATACGGGAAACAACAACAGGCATGTCCGCTCCAACTTAGCGGGTCTTGGGCTATGGTGTACCTTGAGGAAGCTGTTGGATCTTTTGCTTTATATAGCTTCAGTTACCTGCACACAGAAGCCACGTCTTTAAGCTTCTCCCGGCATCCCCGGCGGCAAGGGCCGTTGCAGGGCAACTTGCCATGAATCATCTGACTTCAAATCACGGTGGCTTCAAGCTCAGCAGGCCAGGCTCAGGTTTTGTGGTTCAGCTTGTGATGCAATTATAAATTTGTTTGTATGAGTATCTCTTGCGGCAACCGCCTCAAGTCTTATGAGCTTTAAGATGGCAAGATGCAGGGGGTGCACCCTCGTAGAGTGTCGAGGTTGAAGCCTCTGGCAGAGCGTGAAACGCTGCTAAAGGCATCACTTTGCTCAAAGGCGCCCTCCCCGGCTCGATGTGTAACGGCCCCGGTCTCTGCTGTCCTCCCGATCTCTGCGGTCCTCATGGCGATCATCGCGGCGTCGGTCATCACGGCGGTCGTCGTAGCTATGCCTGTCATCCCGCCGATCATCGCGCCGATCATCATGGCGACCTCGATCGTCGTAGCCCCGGTCGTCTCGGCGCCTATCGTCGTAGCGGTCGCGATCTCTGGGCCTGTCGTCATAGATCATTGACCGGCTACCTCCACCACCACCACCTCCTCTCGCATTGCGCCGGCCGTTGCTTCGGCTGCGGCTACGGCTGCTACGCCTGCTGCTTTGGTTCAGCAGCTCTCTGCTACCACCGCCTCCGCCGCCGCCTTTGCGCTGTTTCTCCGCCATGAAGATGTCTCGACTTGTGTAGCCTTTGCGCTCGTCCGCGGTGTTGTCCTCTGCAGCACACAGGTCTGCAAACCGCACCCAAGCCCAAACCCACCTTTTTTAATCCTGCAAGCCCTTTTAACCCTGTATCACTTCATGGATGCTCTAAAGATGACTGCAGTGGGTTTCGCCTTTCATATCCTACCAGAGTGACCCTGGACTTATGCTCATCTCCGCTTCATCTGCTTTCGGGTTTAGGGTTTAGGGGTATCTAGGCTGTTCTAGGTAAGGTTCTGTGCTTGGTGTTTGGTCTCGGGCTGGAGCTTGCTAACGAGTTAAGCTACATTTGTAAACCTCACAGGCCCAAAACGAAGCTAATGCTTTCAGTAACCCCGTGGGTTGTGATAAGACTATTGAAAAAGCTCACAAGGAACACCCGGCTGGGTAGGAGGACCTTAAACCCGAAACCCCAAAGATCATTGCAAGCGCAGTCCTTCCCTCTCGGCTTCCACCGGGCCTTGATCGCAACGCCATCGATGAGCACCTCGGGGGCTTGGATGCTTTGTGATTGTGGGTACTTCCCTATATTAGGGTACCGCTTTAGGTCCCCGAAATAGTACCTATGCTTTATGTAAACTGGACCCTGAACCGGACCGTGATATAGAGTGCGGTTACTACCTTCACCCCAAACAGCCTACCTTTTTAAGGACTTTCATGAACAAATCATAATAACAAGGAGCCCTGACAACAAGGTAGGCTTCCTAGGGTCCAGGTAGGGTTGGGGGCAATTTGCCGGCTTCGTGGGCTCTCCGGGATGATGGCTTCTTGGGCTTTCTGAATTCCACTTTCAAGAGCTCGGGTTTACCTTTTATTTTAAAAGAAAAGCTACCATCACAGGCTTTTATGTAAGTTATTGTAAGCCCTAACATGGAAGTTTTTGGGGACCCTGCGGATGAATAAGTAGGCTTTTGTTACTAAGTCCCCCGACCGTCCAAGTAGGG